GGTAGGACAGAAAATGACTTCTATACTTTTAAAATTTGCACAAAATTTAGGAGGTCTTTAGACCAAGCCAACTATACATTAAATAAAATTATTCGAAATGAAAAATTTCACGTATCCTAAAAATTTTATGAAGTTTGGATAAAAATTTTTAATATGTTTTTATATATATTAATTGATTTAGATTTATTTTTAGTTTTAACTAATTTCCTGCATGTAGTAGGAGGTTGTATTTTGATAAGTAAAACATGGGATTAGCCATCTATTTACCCACTTATAAAGTTCTATCAACAATAAAAAAATATATAAATAATTAAATATACATAAAAATTATTATAGAACAACTACCTTTTGAAATTCTTTTGATGTTCATGTATAGTGCTGTTATCATGTACATATTAGTGTTTCATATAATGAATCAAATGAAGTAAAAGGTAAAAAAATCTCTTGGAAATACATAATTTTATATAAATAATATTTATTTTTTTAAAAAATTTTGCACACCTTAGTAAAATTTATATATTAATAAATTTAAAATCCTTTTGAAATCCATGTATAATATCACTATTGTGCACATATTAATGTTTCAATGAATCAAATTAAGTAAAGGCATAGTTAGTCAAAAAATTTCTTGGAAATATATACAGTACATAATAATTTATATAAATAGCATTTACTTTTTTTTAACATCAATGTATAATATTGTTATTGTCTCTTAAATAAAAAGTGTAGTTTATTCATACTCTCACTACATGGAAACTTTGATAATGTAAAAATCTATTTTTTTAATATTAAAGATACTTTAGAACAGGCTTTGTGTTTCATATTGGATTAAACACTTTTTGTTCTATATAATTTAGACAAACCTCTGAATGACTGTTTTACTGTTGTGATTATTGTTGTTGCTGTCATTATTATTAGTTCTGTTTCTATAATTCAAAATGTTATATTGTAAAACAGTAATTTTACATATCACAGGAACAATAAATAAATCAGAAATAATTTATGAAAGTTGCATGCAGAAAAACTGATCAAGTATTCAACCAGTCCAATTCTGTACCAATTCTGTAACGATTTTCCATGCATATTCTGGTTTTTCATGACATATTCCATGCATATTCTGTACATATTCCCAACATATTCCCAACATATTCCTTGATTTTATGTACAGAAAAGCATTCTTTTATGGCAAAATTCCATACTTTTTCTGGGTAGCAATTATAACGGAATTACCTGTACATTTTCCGCACATTTTTCATACATTTTCCATGCATAATCTTTTATAGGGCATAAGATTGACTAATAAGAATTATAATTGAAAACTAATGGCAGTATATAGTAGCTTTTTATTTTAATATCATCCAATAAAATTGAACTAATTAAATTACAAAGATTAAGAAATGAGCTACAAAAAATTAGCCAACTATACAAACTTCTGCCTATGACCTCTCATACATTTGTAACACACATAATATTGGACCCCAGTAAAGGACCCCAAACAATCTTAGTAGATAGTACATTTCAATTTTGGGTAGAATCACCCTTTTTTTGATGATGGTATATCAAATGGGGTATTTAAGAAATTTTTATAAGGGTGTACTTGAAATTTTTAAGTGATGCAATGATTTTTTTCCTTTTTTATCCCTTAAATGGTCAAAGTATTCTTTAATGGTAACACAAAATAATTTTTTGATCACGATCTTGCATTCTTATTGGCCAATTTAACGATCTGCAAAGTAAAAATAGTCAATCAACCAACTTTAAGGAAGATTTTATGAAAACCACAAGGACAACAACTGAATTTTATTCACAGATCATTCAGCTGAATCTCAAAATCATTTTCGTATTAGGAAGTGATACCTTCTGAAAAAGTTTTTTATAACAGAAAAAAAATTTCTGCTATCAATAGCTGAAAATCTGTTTAAGGGATAAATAAATAAAAAATATAAAAATGGTAAGGTATACCAAACAGCATCTTTTAAACAATGAATATGTTTGAAAAGTTTCTGAAGATGGTACTAATGTTACATGTATTTGTGGTAATAAAATAAAAATAAAATTACTAAATTTTTTCAAATTAATACACAAAATCAGTCATCAGTAAAAATTTTCTCATGCATTGGTCTTTGTGGTGATAAGTATAAAGCATATATTGAACATATATTGAACATACATGACTTACCACAACTCATGATGGTGCACCTCCATATTATGAAATGGCATGTCAACTATTTCCTTTGGTTTTTCCTATAGGTTTAAAAATAAAATATTCAAAATTAAAATCTGATCAACTAGAACATC